TTATCTTCATTTTTTTTGTATAATAATATTTCTATGTTTTAAATATATATTATGATACAAATAAAACAGATTAAACAAACTTTATTTCTTACAAATTATGAAATAATTTTAATAATGACTAAATTTAATTTTTAGGTGTAGCATAAATGACGCTATTTTACAAGCTATGTCAACCATTACAGTCTTATTTTTATAAGTTTAACATAAATACATATGTTTTATCAAAGCAAAGCTATGCAAAGCAAAGCTATGCTAAGAAAATTGTTGATTTAAAAGCCCTAATCACGGAAAATAATATATATGAGGAAATGAAAAGCGATTTATCTACTATAGAATGGAAAAGCATACGAGAAAAAATTCTTCAAAATAATACAGAAATCACACCTATTGTAGACTCTGTAATCATAGATATGTGTGTCAAGTATTTCCATGTGAATAATGCTATTGCATATTGCAAATTCTTGAAGAAAAATAATTATTCTTTGAATGCAGGAGTGATTGGAAAATATCTTAAACTCTATGTTTTGAAACAAAATTCTTTGACTGATGCAGATAAAATAGAAATTATAGAAACATACAATGATTTGAGGCAGAAGTATCAGTATTTGGATTCCATTACAGCTGAAGAATGTATAATAAGCTTATGTTTGACAGATGAATGGGAGAAAACACAAGATATAATAGAAATGGTAAAGATTACCTCTTCTCCAGGCACTACTATATATTCTGCATTAGCTAGTACAGCATTTAGAAATGGAAAACCTGACATTGCATGGAAAGCACTGACAGATATAGTGTCACGCAAACTGATTCCACAAAAATATGTATACTTATCACATCTACAATATTGCCAGCTAGAAGATGCAAAATTTTTCAACAATAGAATGGAAGAGATGTTTCATTTTTGGATTAAACACAATATAATACCATATGATCAAATTATAAGAACATATACTAGTACAGCTATCAAATATGGTTGGTCTACAGATCGCATAACAATCTCCAAAACAACGTTAGTTTTTTTAATATTTCAGCATGATTTAGTTTAATATACTTAGTAATTTTAAATAATAGTTAAAAAAAAGTTAATAATTAATAATGATAGAATTTCTGTAAATTATTAATAATTACTATATCAGTATAGTTATATTTTTTAAAACAATGTTTAAGAATTTATTAAATAAAATTCAGATTTTTAAAGCAAATAGATTAGTACTTCTATAGAATAAAATTAATATTTTGTTAATAGATAAAATTTTAATATTTATTCTGTTTGTAGGGGGAATTGTAAACATTGCGGTTATTTTTTATCCAAAATAACATTTAGTGAAGACGAATTTCAGGAATTGGCAAAATTTGTGATGGACAGAGTGATTATAGGATCCGACGTCTATAATAAAACTAATCCAAAAGAATTGTTGAAGTTTAAAAAATTTATTGAAAACCATAAATCTTTTGACGTAGTCATTGATGGACTTAATCTAACTTATATGAACTTTTCCGCACCAAAATTGCTATTGGTAATATATATTGTTTTTATCAAAATAATTGTATTGGTCATTTATCAATATATCAATACATTATATAAGTTCATATATGTAAAAATTTCAATTATAAAAAATGATTTTTTTCTATTATTTTCCTATTAAATATATTAATTATTAAATACTATGTATTATTAAATACTAATGTATGATTTATATTACAGCTAATCAATGTAGTGGAGCATTTCAAAAATCGTGGTAAAAAAGTACTCGTATTGACGCGGAAACATCAAAAGAAGCTATCTGAATTTAAACACGTACAGCGAAATGCGTTCGTTTTCTTCATAGATAATTTGTAAGTATTGAATTTACACAGATGCTATGAGATTTTTTTATATTGATATAATTAATATTATATGGCATATAATTACTTTATAATGATAGTATAAAATAAAAATATATATATGTATATAACAATTATAAAACAGTTATAATATTTTAAATAATACATTAAATAAAATTTTTGTATACAAATACATCAAATTTTAGATCCGCCGATGATCCGTACATACTTTATGCAACTATGGCGTGTGGAATGAATGCAATGTTTGTTTCGTCAGATTTAATGCGACAACATAAGCATTCCTTGCAAGATGAAGATTTACAACAAAAATTTAAGAAGTGGCAGTTTTCGCATCAGTACTTCATCAAATTTAGTGCAACTGGTATTCGCATCCAAGACCCTTTTACCTATTTACCGATTGTACAAAAGAATGATAACTGTTGGCACATACCGTGTGTCACTGAAGATCTTAATAAGGAGGTTTTAAAAGAGTGTTATGAATTTTCAGATAAGTGGTACTGTTTGAAGTATGAAAAAAAAATGTATGAAAAAAAAATGTATTAAAATATAAATATCTTTGTTGGCATATTGTATATATATTATATGATGAATGTCAGATGCGAAAGATTCAAAATTTTCTTAAATGTCTTTAATAAAAAATACTACTACTGTTTATATAAATTTATAATAAATTTTATAACAT